AAGGTTGAGTAATAAACAGCATGTTGCTGTTATTGTTTAGTCAATTAAATCATCCCCTGTACTTGTAGGAACTGTTCCACATTTATTACCAGTGAGAAACAAGCTCGGGTAGTGTTGTTGATTTCCTTGTGTTGGATTGCGTTATACTTAGCACATCTAAAGATTTGAGAATGAATGGTGGAAGACACAGTGATAAATTGTCGAGCTTTTCTAAAGATTCAGAAGTTCTAAAGTTCCTGCCAGTGACAGATGGTCTGTCCTTACTCATTGCTTGTCTTCCTGACAGGACTTGATTTTTTTTTTTCTTTTTTGCTCCATTCACTTACAGTAAGTTCAGTTTCTTGGGAGGTGGGATAGTTTCATTTGTTATAATTACATTACTGTATTTCGAAGTGGCATCAACTCTCTATGAACATGTCATGCTCTTTTTAGATTATTAATGTGCACATGTGTAATGACAAAAGGGAATTATAGGATAAGAGGAAGAGAGGAAATGCACTACCAAGGGAAATCCATACCTCAATCTTTCTGTTTTTTTGATAACCAAGCATACTATTAAATAGAGTCCTCACTGGATAGTGTTTTTTAAAATAAATATTATTTTAGTACTTCCAATATTTTATAATAATCGAAAACTTTTTGAAAATTTTGTTTAAACTGCACAACTAGTGTTTATGAGCTATTTTAAGAAATATTCTTAAAATATTTCTAAGAATTCACACAATGAGCCCAAACAACTCTAACAATGATGTGCTTAGATATTAAATAGTTTCCAAATGAAAAACGGAAAATTGCAATCAAATTTCTTAATTCCCTTCATCGATTTCAAATATGTTCACTGCTAAAATAGGAGATTAGAAGATATGCTATTTAGATAAGGAAGGTGAGAAAGGAAAACAATTCCCTGTGGAAGTAAATATAAAGGCTTTAAAAATTCTAGCTTGTCTTCAAATAACTTCAAAAATCCAGAAGTAATTTAGCCCTCAAGTTAATAATGCCACTAGTGTGATATAGCATTATATAGCTGCAAGTGTTACTAGGTGGAAAGAGATCGACATTATTTAAAAATATAAAAACAATCAGGTTAATTGATCTGGGATTTACAATAGTTGTCTTCTGTTATCTACACAAAGAGCTCAGAAATTCTTTTTATGTAATTTTTTTTCATAAGAGTGCTCACTCCATATTATCTCAATTTGATAATACATGAGAAGTGTAAGCAACATTATTGCTCCTTTTTCTCCTTTATTTCCTTTAATTCCACTTCTACTGTGAGTTTAACCTCTTTGAAGTGATATGCATATAAGGGCATATATGTTTCACTGAATATATATATCATACTATAAATTTATGTGTGTGTGTGTGTGTATGTGATGTATGTGTATAATATACTACTCCTTTAAGTGAGAGAATTCAAAGCTTACTGGATTTCCAAGGTCTAGGTGATTGAATTCCATTTTATCTTTTTATTCCCCTTACTAAATGCTCCTACCATTACTGATATCAGTTACCTTTTTATTCAGTGGCTTTTTAGCATTGCTTTATTTTGGTAACATTCAATTAGAAAATCTCAGAGAACTCATGCCAGCCCACTGGTTATGCATGAAGATGTTAACCTAGACCTAGGGAAATTATAATCCTTGTTTAGTGAACATTTTCTCAGATAGTAAATGGAAGAATTAACTGTGTAGAACATTACAAAAAAGTTTCAAACTTCTTTAACACATGGGGTCACAATAATAATACATGGATTTTAGTTGTGTATCTATTGCATATACATTGATATATAATTAAAAAGACAAGACATATCTGTCTTTTTATTCTTAAGGACCATTCTAGTATAATTGGATTTTCTTCTCCAGATAAAAATGTGTTGGAAAAAGGTTCTAAATATTCAATATTTTTGAAAAGGCCAACAAATATTGCATAATTTTGAAATCATGCCTTTATAAAATCACAGAAGTAAAAGTTACTCTAGTGAGTATGTTTATTAAAATTTATTAAGATTACAAAAAGGTGCATAGATGAAGTTAATAAAAATGCTTTTCTTTAAAGATAAGATGAGCTAAATTACTCTAACAAGTAGACCCAAAATATATTGTTCCACTACTAAAGGTTTGTTTCATGTCAGCTCAGTACCGCAGCATAGAGTAGAAAAGGGGAGTCTGCTCAGTGCACTGGAGCTATTGTGGCTTCCAGGGTCCTCTACGCATGACGTCACAATCCTAGTAAGCTGGAATGGACAGAGAGCAGACACAAGCACATAGAAGGTTTTATGAGTCAGGTTTAAAAGTGGCATACATCACTCTACTCACATTTGATTGGCTTAGAACTCAGTCACATGACCTTGTAATTCTACCCTGCAGTGGAGGATGGGAAATGTAGCCTACCTGAGTGTCCCAGCAGAAGGAGAGAATGGATTTTCATGATCATCTCACAGTTTCTACCACATGAACCCTTGACTTTGCTTAAAAATAGAGATGACTTTAAATGATTATGCTATTAATATAGTCTAGTTTCTCTGATAAACTTTGTATCCACTCACTTGTTTGTAGGACAGAGTATTTTTTAAATTCATTTAGTAACCTAAATTGGAGACTAAGTTTGAGGACTAATGATTTTAGAATAGTTGGTTAAATAGAACTGGTAGGAGACTTGGGAACTTGAGAACCCAAAAGAGATTCAAATAGACTCTTTCTTGAAAATGCACATTAAGACATATAGGACTCATACTGAAGGTTCACAGACACTTAATGCCCACCTATGGTGAAGAGCACTCAATTTAGAACACGAAGATAGATTATTTATTTATTTATCTGTAGTAATGTGCTAATAATTGTTTGCTTGTAACAAATTTATACTGCTAAAATATCTTATATGTTAATACGAATAAAACCAAAGACGAGAAGGAGAGACTATCTCCTTGCTGACCCTAAGCAACAGAGGATAGTACAATGAGTAGAATCATGGCTTTAGACAACACATTTGTCTTTCTTCTTCACAGAAATACAAGATTTGTGCCTCAATATTATTTCATGCTTTTGCCTAAAATACTTTAAGATGAAGAGCCATGGGTAAATTTTATAGTCTAGATAGTTACTGATAAGTTATTATCATAACTCTTACCTTCTACTTAGTCCATAAATGCTGTTGCACAAAACAACTTCTCATTTAGTAATTTCTACAGGTAATGCAGAGTGCTCATGGTTTAAATTTTGCTTTATCTGATTACATAGTGAAGGTTATTATTTAGCTTAAAATGAGGATAACTTAAGCTAAATAGAATCACTCTACTACTGTTACTTCAGAAGTATTTTAAATCTATACTGCCTATCTGTTGGTATTCTCTTCTTTTTCTCTGAGTTCTATTTACATATTTTAGTAGTGATTTGCCGCCTTCTATAACGTATTTCTCTTTATTTTACTCAGAAACCCACTTTTCTTATATCTTAGTTTCTAGTTTGAAGTCTTTTAAATCTAATGGAGCCCCACATATTTTCTATTACTTTTTATTGCTAATAAATTATTCATTATTTGTCTCTAAGATTTAAAGTAAAACAATCAGAAAATTTGAAATAAGGATTACCATTACTAGTATAAAGTGTTTTTTAAGCGAAAACTGAAAACTACCATAAGTTATATTTAAATATTAAGTTTCACCTATAAGTGAAATACATATATTTCAAAAATGATAATAATAAAGCTTAAAAGTAGATAACATATCCTCAATTCTCTGATCATGTACTATCTATCTACCTCAATAAAGTCACAGGGAACAACATGATGTATAATGGAACAGTATGAAACTTGTACCAAATGTTAAAAAAGCAAGATTCTGCAACTAATTATGTACTTTGAAAAAACATTGAGTCACATACCAAATATATTTCCAATTTTATTTTTTGTGATGCAATGCATCTCTTAGCAGGTATTTCTCAGTAGGACAAAGAATAGCCACCAAAATGCAATTCACATTTTATAACAACTCCTTGATAGCTATTTGAAGGCATCTTCATTTGAAACCCAATCCTTGAGTGTTATTGCTAAAAACAACAGAATTATCTCCTGCAAAATAATCTCACTTATTATATGCCCGTGCCATGCGTAAATCAGAAGAACACATCTTAGGATATGTATGATAAGATTTAGCAGAGTGGAAACTTTGATATAGAAACTGCCCCTACTACACACATACACACATACACACACGCACACACACACACACACACACACATACACACACACATCTGAGGCTTAACTTTTTTGGCCTAAGCCAAGAATCATTTAGAATAAATGTATCTGAAGTTGGTCAAACAAGAGTGCTACCCATATATATTTGTTCTTTCTGTTAAATATATTTTATTTATTTTCATTTTATTAGCAATCTAAAAGCTACTAAAATTTCCTACCCGTGCTTTAATGCTAATATGTTGTCTATCACTTTTGGTATTTAACTTGGAGATAATTTAAGAATTAGATCACCTTAGAATACACATGACAAAAATTTGCAGGAAAATATAGAGCAGTTTACTTAGTCAAAACAGTAGAAAGCATATACACAGAGAAGTAGCAGAAGATAAGAATATTAAATTAGAGCCAGATTGTAGAAGCTATGTACTTTGATATTTATTAGGTAGATGATAAAAAGCCATCAAAGTTTATTTTGAGTAGCGAATGTGATTTGAAATTTTATTTCCACTCTCAGTTAAATCACAAAGCAGTACGTTTTATTTATGTATTTTTTTCTGTTGAAACCCATGGTTTTCTAGGTTTTGATGAATTATATTTTCAAATTCAATTAGCAAGTATACAGTGCATCTATGTTTCAAACACAAATGCTTCTACAGTGTTTTGCTAATGATTTTTCCATCTTCAGTTAAGTAACAAAGACCTTTCTAACATACGATTCATTTTTTTTGTCATTTGCAAAGTATATTCATTAGTTTGGTTTGTTTTGCATGATTAATTTTGACTGATAGCTGATTTGTTTTCTGTTCTAGGTTGTGGAGACTAATTTGGTTGCTTTTGACTGTCACTGGATCATTATAAATGAGGTAAAGCTAAACCTTATTGTTAACTCTGTGTCCTTTTTTCACATATATAATTGTAGCATTTCCAATCCTTGAATTGGCCTTGAATTTTTAAGAGGAAACAACACATGAAGTAAACATTCAACTTACTGAGTGAATGCTGTTTAACAAAAATAGAATGAAGTTTTTAAAAATGATAAGGGGCTTTATATTAATAAAATAAATGGAGAAAGTCTTTCTCACTGAGTATCTTTTCGCTCTTTCTGTTGGCTCACACTGCCTGCTCAAGGAGATCATCTTTATAAAAAGTACAGTTCTACTTTGTAAGCAAAGTAAACTCCTCCCAGGGAGTGCTTGCGTTCCATTTATATTTTAATGTTGTTTCTAGAACTGTTAAGTCCACCCTCTTTACATGAGTATTAAAAAGTTCAGCATATGAATATGAATAAACAGAGAACAGATTTTTCCCTTTTCATAAGGAAGTACAACTGTTTTCAAATCTTTAGACTTGTCAAATTCTTGTGAAAGTCTTTTGATTTTTGCAAAGATAATACATAAGATTAAAAATATATTACAACGTAAAAGCCCTGGGAAATAAGTTGTTCCATTAGCACCTGCCAGTCAGAAATAGAAGGAACACTGAGCAGATCAGTTATGGACAAGTAATGTGATCACATGGATTTTTCCTCAACAAGATGTAGTACTTGGTCATACCTATTACTTATGAATAAAAATAATGTATTGTTTGTTCATTATACTAAATACACAATTCTAGACTAATAAGATTTGTTTTATGGGCAAAATAGTATTTTTGGATAAGAATCCTGGTTTTCTAGTCAACAAGACAGGTTTGATCCTGGCTATGAAACTCGGTAGCTGTCTTAACATGGATATCAGCTTCTTGCGCCTCAGTTTATTCATTTGGACAAGTATAATAACAATTACCTTGCAAGTTCATAATAAAAGTTAAATGAGGTATTATCAGGTGCTCTTAACATAGTGCTTGACAAATGACACTCAAGAATGGTACTGCAATAATGATCATATCACATTAAAATTCAGAGATCATTCTCTTATATATTATTTTGTGGAATACTAAACCACATTCTCTGAAGTACTGAAGGAATGAAGTCCATAGAGAATAAATTATTTTTCTCTTTTTACACAGAAAAGTGAAAATAATTCCCAGTTTCAAGTTGTTTCTCTGACACTACACTTCATTGATTGAATGATCAATTTTTTTTATTTCAGAGTAAAGACACCGAAACCACCTTACAAGTCTGATTTTGGTCTGCCAAACTTTAGGTTTCTATGAATTTTAGCTGTATTTCTCATGCCAAAATAAGCTAGGTTTTTCTGAGATTTCCCCAGGCAATACATATATGGAGATCTGCTTTTCAATAAAGTTCTGATACCTTCTAAATTTCTAGTATGTCTTAATTTTCATGTGGAATAATAACTAAACATTGCGATAGAGGGAAAGACAAAGCAAAAGGAATTTAACAAACCTTCGTAACTTTTCAAATTAAGTATTTTCATTTCAGTTTTTCTCCAAGGAAACGAAGTTTCAAAGAAATTAAACAATTCAGCAAATATTACACAACTATTAGTGATGATAATGGGATTTAAAGCTTAATCTTTTTCAGTGTAAAGCTTTGGTTGATTTTGTTTTGTTTGTCTTGTTTTTAGCTTTTAAGTTCAGGGGTACATGAGCAAGTTTGTATGTAGGTAAACTCGTGTTGTGGGGGTTTATTGTACAGATTATTTTGTCACCCAGGCATTAAGCCTAGTGCTCATTAGTTATTTTTCTTGATCCTTTTCTTCTTCCTACTCTCTGCCCTTCAGTAGACCCCCAGATGTGTTGTTACCCTCTTTGTGTCCATGTGTTTTCATCACTTAGCTCCCACTTATAAGTGAGAACATGAGGTATTTGGTTTTCTGTTTCTGCATTAGTTTGCTGAGGAAAATGGCTTCCAGCTCCATTCATATTTCTGCAAAGGACCTATCATTCTTTTTTTGTGATTGCACAGTATCCCACAATGTATGTGTTACACATTTTCTTTATCCAGCCGACTATTGATGGGTATTTATGTTGATTCCATGTCATTACTATTGTGAATAGTGATGTAATGAACATAGGCATGCATGTGTCTTTATGATAGAACAATTTATATTCATTTGGGTATATTTATATTGGGTATATTCACCCAGTAATGGGATTGCTGGGTGAAATGGTAGTTCTGCTTTTAGGTCTCTGAGGAAATCACCAGACTGTTTTCCACAATGGTTGAACTAATTCACACTCCCACCACAAACAATGTATAAACATTCCTTTTTCTTCACAACCATGCCAGCATCTGTTATTTTTTGACATTTTAGCAATAGCCATTAGGATTGGCGTGAGATAATATCTCATAGTGGTTTTGATTTGGATTTCTCTAATGATCAGTGATGTTGAGCTTTCTTTCATATGATTATTGATCACATGGTGTATTATATTGAAAAGTGTTGATGTCCTTTTTTCCACTTTTAAGTGGAGTTGTTTGGTTTTGCTTTAAATTTTTTAAGTTCTTATAGAACTTGAGAATAATAGACCTTTGTCAGATGCATAGGTTGCAAAAATTTTTTCCCCTTCTGTAGGTTGTTCACTCTCATGATAGTTGCTTTTGCTGTGCATAAGCTTTTCAGTTTAATTTGATTCCGTTTTTCAATTTTGCTTTTATTGCAATTGGTTTTGTCATCTTTGTCATGAAATCTTTGCCCATTCCTATGTATTGTCTAGGTTGTCTTCCAGGGTTTTTATAGTTATGGGTTTTACATTTAATGTTTTAATCCATCTTGTGTTATTTGTTGTATATGGTATAAGAAAGTGGTCTAGTTTTAATCTTCTGCATATGGCTTGCCAGTTATCCCAGCACCATTTATTATTAAAGGAAAGTGTCCTTTCCCCATTGCTTATTGTTGTCAGCTTTGTCAAAGATAAGATAGTTGCAGGTATGCAGCCTTATATCTGGGCAATCTCTTCTGCTGCATTCATCTGTGTGTCTGTTTTTGTACCAGTATCATGCTGTTTTGGTTAGTGCAGCACTGTAGTATAGTTTGAAGTCGGGTAGCATGATGTCTCTAGCTTTGTTCTTTTCCCTTAGGATTTTGTTTTTTCATACATGCTTTTTGATACATTTTCACTTAGAATTTTGTTTTTGGCTATGAAAACAACATCGTCACCCACTGTTTAAGGCTCAGTTTGTACTTTGGAAGAAATGGTCTCTTCATATGATATAGGTGTACCCTGAATAGATTAACATGTATTTAATTGGTAATAAATAAATATTTTTGATAATTATCTTGATGGTTTATATTTTTGAAATTCCTCAGTTATAATCTTATGGGAGCTATTTATGTCACTAGCTTTTTTTGGTTTTAATTTTTTTCTAGATTACTTTTTTGAAATAAAGATTCTTCTAATTTTTTGTTTTTATTTCACATCCTACTTTGGACAGGGGATAGACAACACAGATTTCCTGATGCAAAACCAGCTGAAGTCATTTTACCTATTCATGTCAGTCAACCTGATTAGAAAAATAAAGTGACTTCTTACCTCCTTAGATAAATTGATTAATTTAGATGAATTAATGCTTATAATCACTAAATTGAAATGGCCATTCTCCTCTGACGGTTGATAAGATTGCAAAAGGACCCCCTTAATTAATTAATTTTTTTATATGCAATTTAGCTTCTACAAGTATACCCTGAACTTAAAAGTATAAACTGAAGTAGAACTTCTGAGAACAACATGGTCATTAACCCACTGTTTAAGACTCCATTTGTACTTTGGAAGAAATGGCGTCTTCATATTATATAGGTGTAGCCTGAATAGACTAGCAAGTATTTCATTGATAATAAATAGTATGGAAAGAACAATAAAAATTTGTTTTATTGTATTTTTCATAAGTGTTATGATTCATGTTTTTAAATTTATTAAATTTTATTTCATAAAATATTAGAAATGATATATTGTCATTAAGTAGATGCTCCATAATTTGGGCCACTATTTTGCAAAATAAAATATCCATATAAATAAAGCAATCTAACTGGTAAATAACTCCATAAATGTTAGAAGTCTAGGAGATGATTAAGGAGACCTCAATTATTTTCTTATCCTTCAAACTTAGGTTTTCTACTGTGAACTGTCTAATAAAATCTCACCATCACAATCACTGAAACCTTTATCTCTTTCTTACCCACAGTCCTACTTTCTTGTCCTCCAGCAGAGGTACAATTTCTTTTGGGCAAGTCACACTGCCTAGCCTCTTAAAAATACAATGTCCACAACCCATACCATTTACATTGCACTGGTTAGTACTTTTATCTGAACAAGGTTAAAACTCAGAGAATGCGCAAATGTTTTCTGTATTTTAACCCATAAAAAAAATTATTGGCTGGTATATCCAAAATCAACACTCTCACTTTCAAGTTATTCCATTCACCCACCTTATTGTTCTTATTCATCCACTGTATTCTGAAATATGCCTCAGAAAATGACTTTTACAGTTTTCTTGCACACTTTTCATTTACATGCTTGTTTATAGGAATTTATAATGGATGAATTATAATGTTCCCTAGTTTCTATAAATGAAAAAAAAAAAAACATGTATTTCTCAAAATTGCTAGGAAGCTAATAAACTTTAAATATAATAATAAAAAACCCTCAAAATATGCAAATGCCCATTTTGGCTGAACAGGGAGAACATGAATCTGTCTAGTTTTGTTTGTGTAGCTATTATTTTGTTGCTAATTTTAAAATGGGTTGCAGACATTGATTTAATCTTATTGCATCAATAGTTTTTAAAAGAGTGAATATAAATCAAAGTTGGCATTGTGCATCATGAGAGAAATTGATGTAGAAACTTGAAAACAATATATTTTTTTCATTTGCATTAAGTATGCTATAATAATGAGAGGCTGTGCTAGCTCATATGGTGTAATCAATCATATGATAGTGCTTGGTAATAGTATTTATCTTCTTTGCACAATCAGTGGATCCAGCTCAGAGCAGCCTTTCCATGCAAGTATTGTCATCCCTTCAGGGCCCTAAAGCAGATGGCCTAACACTTTATTTAAGTTTTACAAAAGTTAGAAATTCAGATAGGAAGATGTGCACTGTTCAGATCTGCAAGAAGCACAATGCTTCATGTACCCTTCTATTGCCTGATAATATAGAATATGACCTTTGTTGTCTTGATGTGATTCTACTGGCTTTTTACTTAATTTGAATAGTTTAAGACATTATTCTCTGTTAATCTGAGTACTCCTGAGTACTACATTTAAGGAGAAAGTTGTTGGTTTGAGTTTTTTTGTTTTGTTTTGTTTTTGTTTTTGTTTTTTGACAGAGTTTCACTCTTGTCACCCAGGCTGGAATGCAATGGCACGATCTTGGCTCACTGCCAGCTCTTCTGCCCGGGTTCAAATGATTCTCCTGCCTCAGTCTCCCGAGTAGCTGGGATTACGGGCATGTGCCACCAGGCCCGGCTAATTTTTGTATTTTTAGTAGAAATGCGGTTTCACCATATTGGTCAGGCTGGTCTCGAACTCCTGACCTCGGGTGATCTGCCCGCCTCAGCCTACCAAAGTGTTAGGATTACAGGTGTGAGCCACCGTGCCCAGCCGGTTGGGGGGGTTTTGTTGCTGTTTTGAGATTTAAAAAGCCTATATGTGTAATGGATGTTTTTCATTTTTTCTAGTTTAATGATGAATTGAACTGCTCACTTTTAAGCTTTCAAGTAGAAAGTTGCCATTCTGCTACTCTTCCTGTTGGTACATAGCCTACAGTTGGATTTGTTCCATTTTCTAACATTTGCATAATTGATACATATTAATGTTAGATTTTACAGAAGCATCAAAGGGTCATCTTTGCTAAAATATGAAAAATATAAACAAATAAGAAACAAACACCACATAGTAGAGGGCTTAATCTTAATAGTAAAATCTGCTTCATTTAGAATTGTTTAACATTTTAAAGCATTCTGGTGTCTAGAATTAAAATTTCAAGTATCAGTCTTTAGAAGATAATAAAATCTTACCATTCATTCATTCATTAAATTTTGCATTTATCAACATTTATTGATACCTAGTATGAGCCAGAATATTTGTTAGATGCTAAGAGATATAAGAATGGGAAAAAGGAAACTATTCCTCTGAAATAGTTATTTTTAATCTGAATTGGCATCTGATCTAATGGATTCTGAGAGTCTTTTCTTCCCCATAATCTTATTCATTTAAACCTAAAGCTGAAATACTACAAGGATTCAGGAATGATTCAATTCTCCTAAGAGATTTCTTCTGGGAAATGGCTGTTTCTAGATGGGGTTGTATCCCCAGAAGGTATTTTAGCTTTCCTTTTTTCTTCCTTGGGGCTTTCACAGTTCAGGATTCAACTTACATTAAATTATTAAAGCAAAGTGAATAAGAATATTTTGCCAGACATATTGACTTTGATTCTTAATAATTTTCAAATATCTAGGTAAATTACTTTTGGGAAAAAAGGCTTGCTTAGCCTGAATAAGTAAAATAGAAAAAGCTAAGTCACTAAAAAATATTTAATCATTTTTATTGCAATGTGAATTCTACTTTTATGAATATACTCAATAAAATAAAGAATATAAGAAGGAAAATAATTTTATAATTTGGGTTCTTTAAATTACTTACAGCTCAGGAATACACTATATCTTTTAAAAGATTAAGATATTTAGTGGTTCTGTGGGCTTGGGAGAGTGAGTACTTTATTGGTAAACTAGTTCTTCACATGATTATTTTTAAAAATCTGACAGTTTAAACATTTTTTAAAAATTCAGAGCATTAGAATAATATAGATCCTAGTAGACTGCATAACATTTTAATATACGAGTTTATTTCTGGAATTTTTTTTCCATTTAAATGGATCTCTTTATAGATTAAATGATCACTTGTCTTTCAGTGTTTATATAACATTGCATCTGCCACTCTTGAAATGCCCCTTTTGAAATGCACATGTAAAGTTCCGTAAATATAAAATAGCTGCCGAATCAAGTTTTCATATCACTGTTAAACTGTTTTTGAGATCACATGTCAAGACTAAAATTGCAAGTGAATTTTTTGAGACAGATTGTCTGTTAGTTTCATTCAGAATGACAGATTCTTTCTTCCCAGAAAATTACTTTCTCTTCCCTTCCCCATATAATAATAGGCAAAATACATTCAATTCAAATAGATATTTCTTCAGATATATTTTAGTTGTTTAGGTACCTGAGAACTTCATCTTTGGAAACCTATGAAAGGTAACCATCCCTTTTCCCTTTTTGTGGGTTTGAAAAATGTCCTCTTAAAGACTTTGGCTCATGATAGATGACTACATCATTCCTTCCAGAATCATCAGGAAATTAAATGCTCAAATAATGTATCTTTACAGTTTTAAATTCTACCATTCATAAATATTAATCTAAATAATTCCTGTAAGGAAATATGGACTTGTATAACTTCTTCAGAGACTGTTTCTTTTGATGACATTGATAAATTCATTCCATGAATAGAATATTATGAATGAAGAGCTTCAAGTCTTCCTGAATCTTTGTTTATAAACTGAGAATAAATAGCATCCGATTGAGAGTATCATCTGTTAGCAGAAAATGGGATAATAAAGTAATTAGTATTTTGCTTAACATATAGTAGATATTTATTAAATGTAAATTTTTATCCAATATGCTGATTTGTCATTCATTGTGAGTGGTGTAGATATAGTATTGTTTGATAAAATGTTGATAAATCTTAGCATTGCTAAAGCAAAAAGTGCCATATACATAAAACAACTTAGTTAATATTATGAGAAAAGTGGTACAATTTTCCACTGCCTTTCAAATGAAAGTTCCTGTCTTTATCATTTGTAATTTTAAAAATTGAAAGACATTGAATAGCAATATTAATATTAATTAACTTTAAAAGATGTCTGGTTAAAATCAGGGCTTCAAATGGAGTTGACAGGATACCATTTAATCCTACTTTGTGAGTACATTACATAGAATTTAAAAGCAGCCTGCTCCTTGCCAGACAAAGTTTTTGGTGGCCACTGAAATGACACAGACTAAAGGAAAAGGATGGCATTTTAAATTGAGAAAAACCATTTTTACGGAACACTAAGGATTGATTAAATGCCCAGAAATCCAGGATATTGCACTAGATATAGCTGATGGCAGGCATTATTTTATTTTCAGAACAATTTATACTTCATAAAGAGCATATATAAAGGGTGATTTTTGAATCTAACATATGCTACAAGAAAGAACAATATATAATTGATCTGGTAAGGAAATAAAATTTACACCTATGAATTATCTCTTTTATTTCATTGTTCTGTTATAATTTCTTAGATCAAACCTTGGAAATGCTCATTGCAACCCAAAACTTATTTTGTGTCTAATCTTTTAGTTATGTTGCCATAAGAACTGACTGAAACCAATAGTATGTTATTTACAAAGTCTTCATTGGATTAAAAGGTTTCAAATAAACACTATTAAGCAGAAACTTCTCTAGTAAAGACTACCTTAAAATGAAAATTTATATTGATCACTTTTATCCTAATTCCATTTAGAATAGATAAAATTTATTTAGATAAAATTCATTTAGATAAAGAGCACTGGGTTTCTCATCTCATCCTAATTCAGACTGTATTAAGCAACAGAAGTTTTCATCTACTTCTTACCAAGAGAAACATATGCGTTAACATCAATAATTCTAATAAATTATTAGAAAAACTCCTTATATATCCTCTTGCTCTACTTGCCTCGGTTAAAAGCCACATTTTTCATTGCTAATTATGTGTGTGTGTATGTGTGCATATGTATGTGTGTGTATGTGCATGTGTATAACTCTTACATGGCAAATACCTTCCTAGATACTCAAAGTAATAAGTAATTGAAATCCATTAATTAATAATAAACTATAATAGCAACTTACTTTGTGACCTTTTTGAATGTTTCGACCACACCTATATGTTTCTAAAATGTTCAACATTATAAATTATAAACTTATTATTAATAACCGTATGTAAGTCAATTGCTTCATTAGAACTGTTAGGCCCTAATGTATATAATTTAAAGCACAGAAAGCAACTACAAATGAATAGATCATTTTAACAAAAATATGTTGCTTTCTTCGCTAAGCGTTAAGGCAATATATTACAGTAACAGAATCCCTAACATTTACAGATAACAACTCAGTAGATTTGTGTTTTGTTACTGTATTAAAGTATCTCTAATTCTTCCACCTCTTATCTTATAGGAAATAAACGATGTGGATGTACAGGAACTTGTGAGAAGGTCAATTGGAAGGTTAACAATTATTCGGCAGACATTTCCAGTTCCCCAGAATATAAGTCAGCGGTGTTTCCGTGGCAACCATCGAATATCTTCAACATTGTGTGATCCAAAGGATCCATTTGCTCAGAATATGGAGGTATATTATAAATGACAGAGTATTTCTTCCAGGGTGCTTTGTTGGGCAATTGCAAGGAGAGCTTTATGAGTTGCATTGGATTCAGAATTGTATGTGTTATTTCTGAACAATTCTCCTCCTCCAGCAATTTCATAAGTCTGATGGGGAGAAAGTGCTAAGAATTTGTGTCTTTGTTCCTTCTGATCTCACTATAGAAAAATTTCTACTTGTTTAATAAAAAATATCATAAGTAAAGGTTATTTTCTTCTAAACAAGTAGGTCCATAATATTTCTCATAGGAGAATTTGTAGTTGGAACTACTGATTCCAAACTCCAAATTATTAAACTAATAAATGTATTTGACTTTCCTGGCATAAGAAGGACATAGATACTTATTCTTTTTTAAAAAGATTGATCTCCAGTTTGAATAACTCCAACCAAAAAAAAAAAAAATATGAAAAATGTGCTCTAGCATTTTATGGTCACATCCAACTCCAAGAGGATATAGCTGAAACCTTCAGCATCCAGAATACAACAAAGAATTTGAAAGGTATAAATAAAATGTCTGAACAGCAAAACAGAGAACACCAAGTCCCTGTAGCTTACTCATAAGAATGCCCTTTAAATACTTACTTGAAGCCTATTTCTTTTTCTTAAGGAAAAGCCTCTCTGATTTGTTTTCACTTTGCACTGGAGATCTCAATATGTCAATCTGGAGGGGCTGTTATACAAAGCAAGCACACAGGACAACAGCACCGAGCCTTAAGGAGCCCTCTCAAGGCAAGAGACAGGAGAAAAAATCAATCAGATAAACTAACTCATATATCCTGTCAGCATAGGACTCTTCCTGCAAAAACAAATCTGTGCCATAAAACAACTCCTAAAGGTATTACTGCAGTATAATGCTAGCATATAAGTTAATATTTAAACAATAACCCTGAGATATCAGCAAATATTAAAGGTATCATCAATTTTAGAAGTCAACAAAACCTAATATATTTTAGAAACTTGTTCTTTAAAATATTTACTATAGGAAACATTTTTATCATTATTATTATTATACTTTAAGTTCGAGGGTACATGCGCACAGCGTGCAGGTTTGTTACATATGTATACATGTGCCATGTTGGTGTGCTGCACCCATTAAATCGTCATTTACATTAGGTATATCTCCTAATGCTATCCCTCCCCACTCCACCCTCCCCATAATAGGCCCTGGTGTGTGATGTTCCCCTTCCAGAGTCCAAGTGATCTCATTGTTCAATTACCACCTATGAGTGAGAACATGCAGTGTTTGGTTTTCTGTTCTTGCGATAGTTTGCTGAGGATGATGGTTTCCAGCTACATCCATGTCCCTACAAAGGACGTTAACTCATCCTTTTTTATGGCTGCATAGTATTCCATGGTGTATATGTGCCACATTTTCTTAATCCAGTCTGTCACTGATGGACATTTGGGTTGATTCCAAGTCTTTGCTATTGTGAATAGTGCTGCAATAAACATACGTGTGCATGTGTCTTTATAGCAGTGTGATTTATAATCCTTTGGGTATATCCCCAGAAATGGGATGGCTGGATCAAATGGTATTTCTAGTTCTAGATCCTTGAGGAATCGCCACACTGACTTCCATGGTGGTTGAACTAATTTACACTACCACCAATAGTGTGAAAGTGTTTCTATTTCTCCACCTCCCCAGCACCTGTTGTTTCCTGATTTTTTAATGATTACCATTCTAACTGGTGTGAGATGGTATCTCATTGTGGTTTTGATTTGCATTTCTCTGATGGTGAGTGATGATGAGCTTATTTTCATGTGTCTGTTGGCTATATGAATGTCTTCTTTTGAGAAGTGTCTGTTCATATCCTTTGCCCACTTTTTGATGGGTTTGTTTGTTTTTTTCTCGTAAATTTGATTGAGTGCTTTGTATTATTAGATATTAGCCCTTTGTCAGATGAGTAGATTGCATTTTAGTACTTCGAGATTTTCAGTTTTAACAGTTTGGAAATATAAGCCTAGGAAAATTAGTTACTCTCTAATAATGCTAGATAAATAAGGTGATTTTGCAAAACTACTCTGAAAAATAACCCCACAACCTCCCTATCCTTAGTCACCTTTGAATTTTTAAAAAAGGACTTGCCATTTATCCAAACATTTCTTCCAATTATTATCATTATAGTGCACAGATTGGCTCTAGGATCATTGAGCTGTAACTTTCTGTTCCCTACTACATTTTAAGCTCCTTTAGAATAGCTTCTTTCCATGACCAGGTACAGTGGCTACACCTGCAATCCCAGCAATCTGGGAGGCCAAGGTGGAGAATCATTTGAACCCAGAAGTTTGAGACCAGCCTGGCCAGCATGGCAAAACCCATCTCTGTAAAAAAAAAAAAAAAAAAATTAAAAATTAAAAAATTAAAAATAAATAAATACATTAGCCAGGTATGGTGGTACCCACCTGTAGTCCTAGCTACTCAGGAGGCTAAGGTGGGAGAATCACCTGAGTCCTAGAGGAAGAGGCTGCAGTGAGCCAAGATTGTGCTACTGCATTCCAGCTTGGGTTTCAAAGTGAGTCCCTATCTCAAAATAAATATGTCCCTTCAAGAACCCAGCATCATAAGTACCCATAACGTGCTTCTCTACCATTTCCTCCATCATAATTACCACAGTGCTTTGGATCTGTGTGAATATATATGTTTGAATGTAATTAAGGAGATGGCAATAGTCAAAGTAAATCCTCTGAAGCCTTAATGATGTCACTTTAAATTTCAGTTCCACCCTTATCTATATGTGTATTATTTCATTTTCACACTGCCATGAAGTACAGGGAAGAGGTTTAATTGGCTCACAGTCCTCGGGGCAGGGAAGCCTCAGGAAACTTACATTCATGGCAAAAGGGGAAGCAAACACGTCCTTCCTCACATGGCAGCAGGAAAGAGAAGGGCTGAGCAAAAGGGGGAAAAGACGCTTATAAAACCATCAGATCTCGGGAAAACTCACTACTTTCATGAGAATAGCAAGCAGATAATCGCCCCCATGATTCAATTACCTCCCACCAGGTCCCTCTTATGATACGTTGGAATTATGGGAACTACACTTCAAGATGAGATTTGGATGGGGACACAGTCCAACCATATCAATATGCTTATAATGTCCCATGTTTGCATTTTAACTGGTCATGGATATAATTGATGTGAAAATGATAGAATTCTAAATATAAAAAAATAAATGAAATAACTTTTGATTTAGAAAATTATAAAATATTAAAATTTGGTTTTGTCAAAAGAAGTATCAGGAAATGAAATACAAACTTAAGAAAAATTATTGACTGTATCATTTAGGGACAGCAGAAATTATTTTATAGCATATTTGCCTAACAACATAATCTTTCCATTTCAGTTGATGAGAACTTTAATATCTGTGAACTAATATTTTATTTATGTCTATATTCCTAATCTTACCTGAAACAACAAAGCTGTATGGGGAAGCACCAACTTCCTCCTGACTCATACCTTCATCTTGGTCCTGTCCAACCCACAGATGGAAGAAAACAAGAAAACTACTTTTGCTTTGAGGATTTGTTACATGTTAGCACCCCACTTATGTGTGATAGAATTTGATCTCCGGACTGTTGCTGATTTTAATATACATAGACAGAGAAGTAAAATTCAGAAAAAAGCAGAAAATACATTTCACAAACTTTTTAATTAGCACCCAAAGGCTGAAACCCAGGATTAGCTGAAGTTGCAAAATAAATATAAAATAACACCTTTTAGCTAGAAAATGGTATTTTTAGCAACATATGTAACAAGAAGGAAGTGATCCATTTACTGCTTGATGGAACTAATATTAGTTTGGCTGCTAATGGAGAGAAAACAGAAACATTCCAACACTTTTGCTCCTGCTTTCCCCATCTAAGAAAAATTGTCTTCAAATTGGGAAGGTTAGAGTAAAATTCATTAAAAGAAAGTAATCCACTGGTTTAGAAGGAACAGGGAGATAGTAAGAGTAGACCCACTGCTTTGAATTAGGCTTGCCAAATAGTTGCTCAGAGTACCAATCAGTCAGCAGGAATGATCAAAATATGATAGCTCAAAAATACTGGAGAAACCCTTAAGAAGAAGACCAAGGTACAGGAGATAGGTGTATTGTCCCAATTGTTGAAAGGAAGGAAAAAAGATCCTCATGGAGTTTAGCATATTAAATGTTACTATTTAGATAAACTGTAGAATATATTACTAAATCAATGGTTTGGAATACTTCAGATAAGACAACAGGGCTCCCAGTGCCATCGGTGTGTGATGTTCCCCTTCCCGAATCCAAGTGATCTCATTGTTCAATTCCCACCTATGAGTGAGGACATGCGGTGTTTGGTTTTCTGTTCTTGCAATAGTTTGCTGAGAATGATAGTTTCCAGCTGCATCCATGCCCTACAAAGGACACAAACTCATCCTTTTTTATGGCTGCATAGTATTCCATGGTGTATATGTGCCACATTTTCTTAATCCAGTCTGTCACTGATGGACCTGATGTAAATGACGAGTTGACGGGTGCTGATGAGTTGATGGGTGCAGCACACCAACATGGCACAAGTATACATATGTAAGAAACCTGCACGTTGTGCATATGTACCCTAGAACTTAAAGTATAATTAAAAAAAAAAAAAAAGAAAAAAAAAAAAAAAAAAGAAAAAAAAAAACAAAAAACAACAGGGCTTCCTTAAAAACAAGCACTGCCAAACTAAGCCCTTATTTATAGTTTTGTTTGTTTGTTTGTTTGTTTTTTAGATTGGGAGAACGTCATAAAGCTATGTGTTGCTTATTGATTTTTTGCATTGTGTTTGACAAATTTTTGCCTGAAATCGTTAGGAAAGATATTGAAAAGTCTTGATAGAATGATGACATTCAAACATTTTCACTGACGGGCTCCTAAAGGCAGAAGATAGTGAACACTCTGGCCTGAGATAGAAAGCAAAATAAAGCTCAAAAATATTTAAGTCTTATTATTACCTTCAGAAGTTATAACATTATAACATTTGTGTATATATAATTAAAAGTAATACTCCAAATGATTTGCCAATTGAACTATTTAGTTGTTTTTCTCCAAATCTTCAAACAAAATTAATATTAATATCTAAATGAATCAATCAAATCTTCAAACAATATTGATATGACTAGAATATGCCTTAGATGTATTCTGTGGCTTCGAGCACTTCCTGATATCCACAACCTACCACCAGAGTTCCTTTGTCCTGAGTTTGAGGATTGTAGAACCAGATGAATATTCAAACTGCACTGATAAATATTCTATTCCTGAAATGCAAGGAACTGTCTATGGTCATTCACAAGATTCTATTCTTGGACCTAATATTTTTTAAATGTCTATCACTGCATGAATGAAAATGAATAAAACATGCCTATCAAATTTGTAAATGGCATAAAGCTAGAAGAGAAAGTTTATGTTGTACTAGATAATCAAGTTCCAAGTTGTTAGTGTTGACTAAATAATAAGCCTAAATTTGAAACAGCACAGATAAAGTATAAGTTCAAAATCAATTACATGAAGCCTAGATGGAAGAATCCTGGTTTGACAATTGTTCAGATTCCTTAAGTTGAAGGTAAATTCGGTGTGTGTATTGCACAAATCATATTTGCAATAACCATTTTAATATAGTTGTGGTCTCTATGTCAAAAGAATTTTGCTAAGATAAAGAGATCTAATGTCTTACACTATTCTCTCCTAGTCAGATCACATCTGTAATAATGTGTCAATTCTGGATACTAAATTTTTAACAGAAACGTTGAAACACAAGAGGAAAATGAGAACTAAGATGATCAGCCTAGAAACTATACCAGGTGATGAAAACTAAAAGAAAGATATTTGAAAGCAAGCCATAGATGGTGTCAAATATTGAAAGTTTGTCATGTAGAGGAGGTGAGTGTGGAGGTTTGGTGATGTCAAAGGACAAATGTAGTGCCAATAAGGTAGGGAGGAATGATTGGTTATATGTGACATACTAGAGTCTATGATTTTAGAGGTGGTGCATGTTTCTGTCCAGTCAGTAAATGGTCATTTGTGTTGGTCGAGGCCTAAGTAGAAGTGAAGATCGTCTGTATAGGAATTGAAGTGACCTTTTAAAATGCTGAGAGATAGTTTGGTATTATTGTGAAGGAGGGGTCAAAGGCCTTACAAATAAAAAAATGACCAAAATCTCAGTTAATGATGACAGAAAAAAGCGATAAAGTGTAGCATAGGAAAGAATGTGAAGCTCGAAGAATGGGCACTGGCCTGCAGTCAAAAAGTGTCAGATTAGGAGGGGTAATGAAAAGCTCGGAGAACATTACCACCACTTCTTGATCCTGCAGTTTGGAATGTGGACAAATGAGGAGACATAGTCATTTACTGAAAACGCCTGTCACGTAATAGGTACAAAGTACTCACCTTTAAGACTAGCATAGATGCTCAAAATACATGCCTCGGGGTCTGCAAAAGAGAACGTGCCTCAGCAGTCTCAGGTTTGGATAAAACCCAGGTTACCAGAATTTTCATGTCTCAACTTCCGTCAAACACACTTAGCTTTAAAATTGACTTTCGTTTTTTCTCCTCTCTCCATCCTTTGTCTTCTTTTACTTGACAAGTGTTTATCAAAAACCAAATATGTGCTAGGCTTTAGGCTAAGTCTAAGAGAAATAAATTATAGGGAAAAATGGAAGAGAAAAGATATACAGTATGAGTCCCTATCTAGGAGGAATTTATTTTTTGTGGAAAAGGTAGATTTTAAAAAAGATTTAGTATTCTGATATGTTTCAAAGGCTTATGCACTGTGTGTTCCAGTAGATAAAAAGAGGTGGTCTTTGAACTAAATATTGAGAAATGTTAACTAGTTGGAGAAAGGTGAGGAGATAGCAAGGGATGCTTCCCCAACAATCTTAAATACATGTTCACCAAAGGGAAGAGTAAAATAAAGCTAGAGAAGGAAGAGGAAGTAAGTTTCAGGCAGTAGAACCAGGAGAGGTTAGGAAAGGGCAGACGGTTGTGTGTTATTTTGATTTCCCTGGATGTGTGTCCTTCATGTAATTTATATATTTTCCTGTTGGGTCTTTACTGCCTAATTCCAACCTGGATGTTGATTCATGGACTAGATTTAGCTGTATAGCAGATTTCAGCCATTCCTTTGTAGTCTATCTAGTAATTATTGGGCAAAATGGGGAGTGGCTGGGATGGGGAGTGAAAATAGTCAGTCCTAATATGTCCTTATGAAAGACAAACTTGCATTGCACATAATGCATTGAGTGTGCAATGTCTCTTCAAAAAAGGCCTGTAAGTATTATATATATAAAATGATACTTCACAAACACAAATGATTGAAGATTTACATGGTATGTAAAAAAAAACTCACAAGGCGCTGTTAGGAATTTCTTATTAAAAACTCTGAATAGCATCAGACTCTAATTATCTCAATAGCCAGAGCTTAGTACCATCCTGTGATGCGGGTAGACTACTTTAAAAATTTCCTCCATGATTAAATATACCCCGAGGACCATCCATATACTCTCCCGTGTGTTTTTAGGAAAAACCGTGATAACAATATCCTTCTAAAAATCTGAAAAACACAAATGCTTTAAGATGGAATTAATTTTCATCACTACATTGATTCCTCATTTTTTAAATTTTATATTGAGTTTTTCCTTCAGAGGAAATATAACATTAAGCAGCTTTTATTGACCAAGGATTCCTTTTGGTATTACGTTTTCTGAATAATTTTTAACTTCTTCGAAAAATAAGCAGCTTTGATGGTTAATCGACAGTATAAATAGTATCTCTGGCAAAACTTAATTGTAAGAATGCAGTTAACCTTAGCAAAAAAAAAAATGGCTATAATTTGTTTTTCAATCTGTAGAAAGAAGCTAATAACATGGTTGCCTTAGAAGAAGCAAGTGTTAATGTAAACACACATTCACAAACAGTTAATAGTTTATGATATTTGTGAAATCAATGAATTGCAATGCATGTGTATACCTGTATAATTTTGTATAGATCCTTGATCACAATAATATTTATAAATGGTCCTGTTCTTTCATTATTTCCTTACAGAATCTCCATATACACAAACATACACACAGTTGACTGCTTCCTTTTTATGTACCTATGACACTCATATATGAGATCAAGTTGATATTTTTCCATCTGAATAACTAGAATGCAAAACCTTAACATATCCAGAAAATGTATTATTCAGTTTGTCCTTCCAATCTTAAACCCTTAGATTCTTACCTCCTCAGAGAGAAATAAGGGCCAATAATTTTCTCAGGTCTAACACTAACAGCCTTATCTCTGTCAAAATTTCTTTCTTTCTTTTTTTAATCTTCTCTTTCACACCAAAATAAGCTGAAAAAGCAATTGAGGCATACAATCAGACAAGACTTCATTCTCAACGACAAAATTGCCCAGGAAATGACAAAAGAAACCTTCTGCTTAATAACTCAGTAAACCAGCCATCTATGACATGAACAGAAGCAGCTGAGACAATTTTTTTTTTCCTTATTCTTGATGACTGGTGTCAATGATTCTAATGATCACTTTCTAATGTCTTTTCAGATTTCCAACCTTTACATATATGACACGGTGCTTCTGCTTGCTAATGCCTTTCATAAGAAGCTGGAAGACCGAAAGTGGCACAGCATGGCAAGTCTGTCATGTATCAGAAAGAACTCAAAGCCATGGCAGGGTGGGCGCTCCATGTTGGAGACCATCAAGAAGGTAACTTCTTAATTTTCATGTAAAAAGGGTAGGGTAAATAATTATTTGATATATTTTAGAAAAAGGGTTTCCTCTCTAATATTTCTGCCAATTCAAAGCACAAAACAGTGTAATGGGGAAATAAAATATTGAAAAAGGAAAAAGGTAAGAAAGTCATCAACATATACAAAGGGGAGGCTTCCTTATTTATTCATAAGGGAATTTTATGCGAGTAAAAAATGTGTGGTTGAGATATACTGACTTGACTGTCACTAGCATTAGAGATACTGAAATTATTTTGGTGCCTGTCACGAAGTACAAAAGGCTTTTAAAAAACATACATCATCCACTAAAAAAAAAAAAACAAAAAACAGTAGACTCAATTAGCACTTTTCCAGTTAGATAATATACATGGTAAGAGATTGAACGTGATGGTCTTTAATTTATCTCATGATAAGGATAGGATTCATAAGTAGATAACATGTTGCAGCATTTCTGAACTATTTGGGGTAACTGATTGCATTATTCTTCTTCACTGTCAATGTGTTGCTTATCCCAGCTGTGAATCTGTTTGGCTTAGCTACCTGTTCCATTCCCAGAAGGCAATTTATGTTGTTTAGCTCCTCTCAGTGGTATAAGCATTCTGTAGTTTATTAGACTCTTTGTCATGTCATCCTTCCTGACATTTTCCATTTGTCTTGCACAGCCTCTTGGATTTAAAATGAAATGATTAATAAAACAAACAAATTCTCCCATACCCTTTACACAAAGGAGACAGACATTTGGAAGCTTATGTTTTTTATTTTATCCATCCTTTTTCTTTTGCATGTATTTTCCTTTCTTCCCGGAAAACAAAAGAAAAATAGCTAGTCAAATGAAATATAAATGACCTTAAAAAGTCAGAGTAAAATATAAAAAAATAATATTAGAAGTAAGCTAGGAGTACAAAAACTAGAAGTAGAGGAAATAAATATTTTAAATAGAGAAGAGCCTGAATCTTTCTCTTGGTATTTGTATCAGTCCCTTTTCTGCTGTTCTAACTGTTTACCACAAATTGGGAAATGTATAAAAACAGAAGTTTTTTCCACATGGTTCTCAAGACTGGGAAGTCCAAGACTGTGGCACCCACATCTGGAGAGGGTCATCTCATGGCAGAAGGGCATCACATGGTGAGCAGCTGCACAAGATAGAGCGAAAAGGGGGGCCAAGACTTCCTGAATAACTAATCCACTCCCATTATTGGACATTAATCTATTCATGAGGTGGCATCCTCATAACCTAATCACCTCAATGTCCCTATCCTTAATACCATAACAGTAGCAAATAAGTTTCAATGTGAGTTTAGGAGGGGACACTAAAATCACAGTACTCCATCCCTGGACCCCCAAAACTCATATCCTTCTTACATATAAAATATATTCATTTTATCCCTATAGTTCCAAAAGTTTTAACTTGTTTCAGCATTAACTCAAAAGTCCAAATTTCAAAGTCTCATTTAAATCAGATATGGGTGAGACTCACATGATTCATCATGACGCAAATTTCTTCCAGCTGTGAAACTATGAATTCAAAACTGATTATCTACTTCCAAAATGCAGTGGTGGGACAGTCATAGGATAGACATTTCTATTCCAAAACAGAGAAATAGGCAAGAAAAGAACGATAACTGGTCCTAAGTAAGTCTAAAACCCAACACAAAAAATAACATTAAGTCATAAAGCCGAGAAACAATATCCTTTTATTCCATGTCCTAATTTCTGGATCCACTAGGACAGGGATTGGGCCTGCAAGGCCTCAGGCAACCCTGTTCCCAAGGCTTTGATGAACTCAGCTTCTGCAGCTCTCACAGGTTGGAGTGACACACTGTTTTAGTCCTACAGTTCTGTGGTCTTAGGGATGGTCCCACTTCCATGGCTCCAGTAGTCATTGCCCTAATGGAAATGCTTTGTGGCAAGTCCAACCCCACATTTTTACTCAACATTGTCTTAGTAGAGGCTCTCTGTGGTGGTTTCACTTTGGAGACAAGTCTCTGCCTAGGTCTTCATGCTTTTTGTGACATCCTTGGAAATCTTGGTGCAGGAACCCATAGCCACAGTTCTCACACTCTGTATGCCTGAAGGTATAACACCATATTGATGCTGCCACAGCTTACCATTTGCACTCTACAGAGTGACAGCCCAAGCTTCACCTGAGTCCACTTGAGCCATAACTGGTGCAACTGAAGAATGTTACACTGGAATGTGGGGAGAAGAGTTGCTAGGTGACCCTGGACAGGGAACCTATGATGAGTGCCTTGGGCATATCCCCTGAAATCATTTTGCCTTCCTAGAGCCTGTGAGGGCAGCAGCAGCTTCAGAGATTTTTGAAATTCCTTTTAAATTCCTTTTAAATCTTTCTCCTATTGTCCTGATAAATAGCACATCGCTCCTTTGTAGCCATATTAATATCTTTAGCAAACACTACTTGACTGCACCCTTGGCATTCTCTCCTGAGAGTCTCACTTTGTCGCCCAGGCTGGAGTGCAGTGGTGTGATCTTGGCTTATTGAAGCCTCCGCCTGCTGAGTTCAGGCAATTCTCCTGCCCCAGCCTCCTGAGTAGCTGGGAATACAGCCACGTGCCACCACACCTGGCTAATTTGTTTTGTATTTTCAGTAGAAACAGGGTTTCACTATGTTGGCCAGACTGGTCTCGATCTCCTGACCTCATGATCTGCCTGCCTTGGCCTCACAAAGTGCTGGAATTACAGGTGTGAGCCACCGCACCTAGCCCTGAACATACGTTTCCACTCTTTACATAGCCAGCCTGTAAGTTTTTCAAATGTTTTGTCTGCTTCTCTCTTAAATATAAAATCTATCTTTAAGTCATTTCTTTCTCTCAGATCTTACTACACACAGGTAAAAGTAACCAGGCAGAAGCCTGAATGCGCTGCTGTTTAGAAATTTCTTCAACCAGATACTCTAGTTCATTCCCCCTAAGTTCTGCATTCTACAAAGTCTTAGAATATGGCCACAATTCAGTCAGGGTGTTTGTTACGTTGCAGCAAGGATGGCTTTCAATCCAGTTTCCAATACCCTGTTCCTCATTTTTGTCTGAGACCTCATCAGAATATCCTTTACTCTCCAGATTTTTATGAGTATTCTGGTCACAACAAATTAAATAAACTCTTAAGAAGATTCAGACTTTCTCTACAGCTCTCTCTTCCAAGCCTTCACTAGAATTGCCCTTAAAGCTCTACTCACAGCAGTACAATTTTTTATTCCTAGTCCGATCCTTCAAATTCTTCAAGCCCCTACCTTTATGCAGTTCCAAAGTCACTTCCACATATTCAAGTATGTATTATAGCAACAGCTCCACTGATTGGTACCAGTTTTCTCTCTTGATTTGTTTCTGCTGCTAGAATACGGTAGACTTTGTAATTTATTAAGAACAGAAATTTATTTGGCACACAGTTCTGGAACTGGGACATCCAAGGGCTCGGGGCTGGCATCTGATAAGGGTTATCCTAGGTGAAAGGACACCACTTGGCAAGCAAGTGCATGAGACAGAGACAAAAAGGGGACCAAACTCTTGTGACAATTAGCCCACTACTGCAATAACAGCATTATTCCATTCATGAAGGCAGAACTCTCATGACCTCAATCATCTCTTAAAGTTTCTACTTCTTAATACCATTACAATGGCAATTACATTTCAAGATGAGTTTTGGTGGGGATTTCAAACCATCGTAATGTTGTGTCTTCTTTGCCAAGGAAAATTTTAATGAGAATTTTGGCTGTTATCAACAAAAGTACTTGAGAATTAAATGTATTGAATATATTGGCAGAGAAAGACTTTTCAACTGAAAAATGAATAAGTCTAATCTAGCTTCAAGCTGTTGCCAAAATCTTCCAGCCTTATCTATGTAGAGAGCTGACAGGTATAAATCCAAGGGAGGTTATTGAACATGATTCTCATCCTGCCAATTTATTAATTCATGGTTTGGCTAGGATGCAGGAACCTGAATATATTTATTCTTCTGAAGCTTTCATACAAAGACAAAATAATAGATTAAGAGGTTTCTTAGGAAACACTTATTTAGTGAGAGGATCAGGAGGAAGGAAAGAGAGACACCATAATATGTCAGTATTTCTCATGTGGAAATTTAATATATAAGATACTACTATTAGAAAATTTATAACCCAAACAATTATTTAATACAATAATTATGAAATTTTATTTTGTGGGACTATGTGTACATTTGTCCCTCTCAGCTTCTGCCCCAGTGTCATGTTTTAAAGAAATGTATCCATTCTTTGTGTCAAGAACTCAGTTTGAATAATATACATGATTACAAGTGTTCAATGTTACATTTTTGTCTCATATTTCAAACTGACCTTAAAATTGATTTTTTTTAATTATATTACTTTCTGCATCATATGTGTAGTTTTGGTCACCTGTTTAGATGTCAGTGTTGATGATACTCCACACATCAAGTGAGAAAGAAAGTTCATTATTCACATAGAGACTCCCAGGAAGAGCAGAATGGCCCCAACCAGATTCAGGCTGGCTTGGGCAAAACAGAGGGAATTGCCTGGGCCTTTTTGGCGACTAGAGGTTAGGGCTGGGAAAAGATTTCCACTCATGTGGGCTGGAGATTTGAGAAGGTCAAGTTTCCCACAGGTGTCAAATAAGTAGGTGCAGGAAGGCCTGTCTTAATAAGACTGTACAGATGTGGGGTCAAAGAAAGGGAGGGTAAGGCTTAAAAAGAAGTCAGTAGCCAGCAACACAAATGAGGTCAGGCTCCTTATTACAATGGGAATATTCTAGTGATAAAAGTTTTAATTACATTCAAGTAAATACAAAATGCCTATATTAAGGGCATGCTACATACACATTACAAATCTGTGTGCTGCTACACAAATTACAAGCAAGAAGAGAACAAGTTCCTATCCCTAATTTATATTCTTATTATGGGGAATGAAACAAAAGAATTAAAAATAATGTCATTGACATAGTGGTGTAAATGTCTAGTAATGGGCAA